CATTAAGTGCTCCTCAACCTTAGCCATGTAGTTATTCTCCAAAATTGGAGCTAAGCATGAACCCATTTAAATTTCATGTGTCTGTTCCTTAAACTTCCCGTCAAAGGTGAAATATGTACTACTCATGGATAGATTAAGCAGCCTTGGAATAGAGGCTATAATCAACTAAATTCCCTCCGTAATCTCTGAATCATCCTCCAGTGTGAGTATTGGAGCTTGAATGGTTCCTTGAACTGGAATATTTGTGTACATTGATACCGCGTCACAACTTTCTAATACATCTTCTTCTGAATTTTTCTGCCTATCAACTAGTCTACCAAACTCATAATACTTTTTAAAATCGAAATTAACAAAAATTCGTTCACTTTTCTTTATTGTTTATATAAAAACGTGAGATTTTATGCATAACATTAGCCTTATTGTTAACAATCAATCTAAGGTGAAACCTATCTTTATGTATCTTTGTAAGGCCGTAAGCAGAGGGTGCCCTAGCATCTCTTTGAAGCAGATAATTCATTTTCCACGTCTCTATTTCCCTATTACTTGAGCAAACCATATTAACATCTCTTAGCCTTGATTAAATTCCCTCAGTAGGATCTTTGATTAAAGGCTTATACGAATCAATGTTCATTAAGTGTGCAAGCATTTTCGCGAGATAATTTAACCTAGCCATGACTACCACTGCTCCACCCTTGTCGGCTTTCTTAACAATTAGATTATTACGAACTAAATATGCAGATTCTTTGTTTAGAACAAAGCACTTTTTTGGCATGACTACCTGGTCAAAATGAGGAATCACCTCCAACTATATACTAATATTGACTTGTTTATATAATCTAGCTTAAAAACTAATTAGCTCAAACTGTATTTCCAGAGAATGGTTTACTTCATTTGTTAGGGCAAAGTTTAATCCTTTTTCCATTAGAAGTTTAACATCATCCTCCAGATCTGTAATGAATAAATTTCATATCTTATCTTGCTTTCGCAACTTGGTCTTGTTGTCAGAGCGACTTAGTAGAACGCGCCTTGCCCGAAGTCCTCTTCCATAGTAGGTATCATAATTCCCTACATCACACGGTGGACTTGGCATATTCTCCGACGTTTCACCGGCATCGTATTCGGCATCATCAGTGAGTTTTGCCATTGTCCGCACGAAGCTACGAAACCGTCGAGTGATTTCACTCAGTTCCAGTCCCAATGTGTGTTTTACTCCAAGCGCTATTTCTCAAAGCCATAGAAGCACATACACTGCCGCCTCACCGAGCAGAGCGCCTAGGCTCTGATTGCCATGCTTGCAGATCTCAGGCGCTGCCTTCCCGGGTCGTCTCCTTGATTAAACCCATGTTGCCTGAGCAAACTGTGGACGCCAATCTTTGGTCGCATGCTAAATCTCACGTGGATTTCTAGTGCATTTTGACAATTACGCCGAATTTCTGTGACGGTTTGCTTGTCCGTCTGCCTAGCACCCTGACTGCCAGGCCCCTAAAGTTGTATTGGTTTATTCCAAACGGACATCACTCACTGACACCGTCTTCGTTTGATTGCCGAAACTCCCCGCCACCTCGCTTTTCCTCATTGCGATCTTGGTTAGCGATAGATCCTTGATCCAGGCGTCTTCTTTTTGTCGATTTTGCTCTATTCTTGTTTTGCCCGAGTTTACTCAAGCAGTAGGCAACGTTATCGTTAACTCTGCCTTCCTCCAATTCCCTGTTCATTAGATTTTTATCTGCTTCCTTGTGTTGTCACCGTATGAGGCCCTTCTTTCTTTTCCCTTCTGTGCGATGTGTTCCGCTAATTCTGATCTTTCGGTATCCATTTTCTTGCAGAGCCTTTGATGTTCCTCGATTCGTGTGTTAATATTTCTCCCTGTTTCGACAATATATTTCTGTTTGCATGCGCCGCATGATAAACAGTAATCTCCTGAACAATCCAATTTCTCTACCCTTTCATGTTGCATCGGTAGACTTGTGAAAAGTGTTGTTTTTTCTTTCGTGGCCACCCGAATATTCCATTTCCTTAATATTCGCCCTAGTTTTTGAGTTTGTATACAAGAAGGTAGGCATATCCACTTTTGTGAATCCTTCACGGTCCTTATTGTTCTTTCGTAGTCCCCATTCTACCATCAGCTTTTCACGGCTCGTATGCTTCTTTGTATTACTTCGCCTGGGCAACCGTTGCCGAGGGATATCCTATTCAATTTGTCCAACTCCTCGTCCCAAAATTCTACATCCGTTAAACGTAGGTTTCGGATTATCATGCTCTTCATTATTACTATATTTAACCTGTAATTGTAATGGGACTGTAAATTGAGTATTATGTCGGCATAAGATTTATTTCTGAACTATTTCTTCTTGAGTGCCGATTAGAGCGAATCACTTCAATATCCAGGAACTGCAACCGCTCACCTTCCTCTACTTCCATCGTGAATTGAATTTTTTCATCAATCTGGTTTACAAACTTCACAAACTCTTCCAGTTTTCCTCTTTCATGTGACCAAATTGCGAAATAATCATCCAGGTATCGCATGAACACTGCCGGTTGTGGCGGTGCCATCTTGAAGTTCTCTTATATCTTGTTCATGTATACTTTTGCAAAAAGTGGTGAGAGCGGCGATCCCATGGGAAGTCCAATTATTTGTTCATAGATGTTCCCGTTGAATGTGAAATAGGTGGCCCTTATTGTCAAGCTGATTAGTTTTGTTAACGACTCCCTACCGATCCGTTGTGATTCCCCCCGATTTAGGGGTTAGTATTGGATATTCCACCCTGGATGAGAACAACTTTTGGGAAAGCAAGGCAATGTGAATTTCAGCTCTATTCGTATCATTGTGGGAAAATTCAACCTTAAAGGAAATAGGGTGAACACATATATGGCTGATCAACTGGTAGTCTCGGATCTCTATTTATATACCAACCATTTAGAGGTTAGTACTGACTGTTCCAAATGGTGTGCCCCTAGTTTGGCTATACAGTTATTCCCAAAATGAGAGCTAAACAAGATTCCATCGCAAGTCCTTGTGTTTGTTGATAAAACTTGCCATCAAAGGCAAAATAGCTGATACCAATAGATACATTTAGAGGTCTAAGGATGGAGGCTACACTTAACCTTATTCCTTCTATGCTTTATGGGTGCTCCTCCATAGTTTGTGCTAGAGTCTGAATGATTCCTCGAAAAGTAATCGCTATGTAAATAAACAGAACATAAAAAATTTCTAGCCTATCCTCCTCTGAAAGTGTCAGCTGATCAATCAACTATACAAATCGAGAAAAATTTTTAACTGAATATAGCCAAGAATCCGCATGGATTCATACATATATGCATAAAAAACGTAAGATTTTATGCATTCTGCTTGATCATTATCTACAATTTATATCAGAGGGAAACACTCTTTGCTAACCTTAGGAAGACCGTAGGCCATGGGGACCATTGCATCTCTCTGGAGTAGTGAATCCAATTTCCACTTCTCCATTTCACCATCATTAACGCAAATTTTACGGGCATCTTTAAGTCTAAACGTAAGTCTATATATAAGTTGTTTGACCTTGTTTTCGCAACTTGTTCATGTTGGTAGGAAGACTTAGAAGAACACACCTAATCCGGAGTCCATCA